CCCCCCCCCCCCCCCCTACCACATCATGCTGGATCCATCCCTTATTTGTCCATGTATCCATAGTATCCAGAATAAAATAGTTTTACTGCTTCAACATTCTTAGATTGCGCAGAACTTTTAAAGAAAATGGCCTCGTTCTTCGCCGAAAACTTTTGCGAATCAAAAATTGTAAATCCAGGTAGGAAAATGACATCATCTGTGTTCTAATAAAGAACTACGTATTATAATTTCAGAAAATTGCTAAAAAGAATTGAAAATATTTGTTTCATGATCGTTTAGATCTTCGAGATACAATTATCCAAGGACTGGTGACGTTCTCCTGTTATGCTGACTGTCTCAAAGCATTAGAAATACTGCCTTTGACGAGGTATGGAAAATTAACACGTTCTGACCTAACAATATAACATGTTAAAAGTGCGATAGAAGAACGGTTCTACTTCTCTGTGTCTGATATTGTTAAAATAATTTATGAAGAAAATGAAACATATACAAAATTCTTCAAAATTTGCATAAACTTTTTCCTCGATTTTCTCAGTTACTTTGTAAAATAATTTTTTTTTGAATAATTTCTTAAAACACAACTGTTGAAATCCTTATATTTCACAAGCTATATGCAGCATCCTAACCTCTCCTAGCCTTTAGCTCGAAGTACATCTGCTTTAGTATTGTATATCTGATATGACACGGCCACCCATAATATTTTACATCAATATATTTTATTTTGCAGTCAAGAGCGTGTGGTGAGCACCTTGATGGGAGCTTATGAAAAGAGAACTTGGGTACAAACTACGTGGATTTTGATCAGATTTTGGAAGGTAATCGTATTGGCTTGAATCTTATGTGAAGTTCTTTCCAAAGGCAGCTTTTTTGGCTCGGTACTGTTTTCTTCGTTCCACTTTAGTGGTTTTTCTTTCGTCCATCTTCCCTATACATTTCTAAACTAAAACTAGAAATTTTCTATCTTCCCCTTTTCAGGGTTGTGGCTTCGCGTTTAATTACTCCCTTCAACCTTGGGGTCAAATGAGTGGGATATCAGATCATGGCTTACAACGTGTGAATCTTCAACCACCCTGTCCTTCCCCTGTGTACCAACATGTACTGGCCAAGCTATGTAGTGAAGACAAGGTTCTCTCTAGTGGTTTTCTCAATGGAGTGTTGAATCAGCTGAATTGGGCGTTCTCTGAATTCATTGGAATGTTACAACAGGTACGATTGTCGCGTGGTCGGAGCACGATAACTGGTCTCTGAGTTGGTTAGAGCGCTGCACCGGAATCGTAGAGCCGCAGGTTTGATTCCTGTGTGTTTGGCTAGTGGTGGATTTCAGGAAGAATTAGCCTCGCTACAAGCTGGTGTACAATGAGCCGGTTTATCCAACATTGGGATGCATCTCAAGTCTGGGAGTGTAAACACTGCCAGGGTAAACACCACCTTTTTGTCGCTGTCGTTGTCTTTATAATGGTAAATTTTCAGTTACAACTTTGAAAAGTCACTTTTCACATTGTTTGGAGTGTCTAGTCTCTCTGATATGGGAAGACCGCACCCCAAAAATGGCGGATATTGACCCTTGCGAGAAAGACTTATAGTGCTTGCTGAAGCCTATCTAGAGTAATTCATGTTTTATGATGAATAATGTATTTTGATGTCCCGTTTTAGATCCAGTCATTGCCCAATATAGCAGTCGAGAATCGTCAGTTAAAAACATGTATTGTGTGTTTTGAGCTCACAGTTGGTTTACTTAGGGTAAGAAGTTAAAGGCACAGTTCAGCCTTTTGAATGATGGTTTTTAAGGCGCATTTCAGCCCTTTTAATGGAAAAAAAAACTAACTAAGAAAATCAATTATAAGCATAATTCAAGAGCAGCAAACTTAATTGATTTTCCTGGTTAGTTTTGTCAATTAAAAGGGTTGAAATGCGCCTTAAAAACCATCATTCAAAAGGCTAAACTGTGCCTTTAAGAACTAATATAATATAGCGCACAGATCATTTCAACTCTTCCTGTTCTCAACCAAGGTGGTTTGGTAAAGGAAAACTAGAACCTGTGTTATACAACTTTGTATTCATCGATCTCGTATCCAGGGCCTTATCTCCGCTCCCGGGCGTGTGGGTAAGACTCGTTGTTTATCCATAAGATGATAGGAGAGGTGAATTAAGTTTTATGTCTTATTTTCAGGTACTTGAGATGGTGTGTACTGTGGCTCCTCAGTTGTTTACAGATTGGGAAAACTTTCCTTCTGCAGAAATGAATATATCTCGGCTGTTTCAGCTTGTCACGCAAGCATTTAATCGTCTCACAGCAAGTGCGAATATATTTGAAAATGTCACACGCCTACATCTTCCAGGTAACTTACAAACATCGCGTGTTTCGTCCAGGTATTCCTGTAGTCGACCTGTGCCCTCATTTAGTAACACTGGTTTGGATCTCACTTGACCTCTAGGGAGAGCAGATTAGAACTGTTAGCCCAGTAGAAATAAGGTTAGTTTACGTTACAATTTAAAACTAGAGTGATTGTGTTTGTTCATTGTATTTAGGATTTGATTGTGTGGATCGTTTACCATTATTAAGTGCGTTAGCTGGTATCATGCTTGCACTTCTCAAACGCTCAAAACCGGCCAGGTACGCAAACACTTATCCTGTTGTTATAATTGTGTTATATTACCGTTTTTGTGTACATTAAAGTGCTACTATTTTCTAGCATTGATTGCGCATGCTCAGTACTATTTGCCGAACCTGGCTTCCAGTTTGAATCGTTCCAATTGCTGTTTGACCGCGAGAGCAATGGGGGCAAACCTGTCTCTGGGTTTTCTTTCAGTCATTGTAAGTAAATCTTTATTTGTATTCCATAGTAAGGACATTAGACCTAATGCAAGATTACGTCATAGAATGAAAAGAATTATTGTCGATTTCAAGTCAGTTTTCAACGCGCGGGTCCCAAGTTCATTGCAAGCTTGCCAATACGTTTCCAAGTTCGGAAATTGCGCGCGAACATCCCAACAAAGTTCGCAAGTACATTTCAATGTTTGAACTATTGTAAACAAATGTCCATAGTTCAAGTTGAAATTAACAATTCAATGGAAAGTTCTTGGTCCAGTGGGCTATCAAGAAGGCTTGTATTTCATTGAATTGGTTATTATTATTGAGTATGAACATTTGTTTACAAACGAAGTTCAAACATTGAAATGTACTTGCGAACTTTGTTGCGAAGTTTACGCCCAATTTCCGAACTTGGAAACGTAATTGGCAAGTTTGCAACGAACTTGGGAACCGCGTTGAAAAGTGACTTGAAATCGACAATAACATTATTATTTCACTCTGATAACTGCAGGTTAACCACCATCTGCTGCACGATCGTGTTTAGTAAAACCCACGTATATCCCTTGCGAGCCACTGATAATGGCAATATGATAAATCTTTTAATATTTTCGTAGATAAAGTCGTGAGTGAAAAAGAACTGCAAGAATTAGAAGAATTGAGTAAGATTTTATCAACCTATAAAGATCAAGTTCATTTAAAGAGACAAGTAAGTGTTTTTTTTGTGTTTTTTTCTGAAATCAAGGTCTTTATACTGTGTACATCAAAGTTTTGTTGGAATATGATTCATGGGCGGATTTACTGGGTGGAGGGGTTAGGGGGGGGGGGTTAAAACCCTCCTCTAGAATACCTCTAACCCCTCTTATAAAGTGTTCAACCCCACCAAAATTTCGCTTCACCCCTCCTATTTTGTGTGAAAGTGTTTAACCCTAAAGCCTACCCCCTGCCGAAGCTCGCTGCACCCAACTTTAAAAAAATGAAAATCCGCCCTTGAATTATGATTGTAACAAGAGTTTTTTTGCAGGCGTCTTTCGACACAGAAGAATTGTGCACAATCTGCTATGCTATGCCACAGTCTGCGGTGTTTGTCCCCTGTGGTCATAAATCATGCAGGTATATATAGTTCTCTAGACTGCACGGCTCAAAAGTACATTGACGATGATTTCGCAAGCTTTAATATCTATGTAATAAATAATAATTTATTACTGCAAAGCTTTCGATCCGTAAGCCTGGATCTTCATCAGTGCTAATAATATGTTATAATGATAATAAGTATACACCCTTTTCATAAATGGCTGCCGATTAAAAATTCTTTTATGTGCATATAAATTGGCCCAACTAGCCTCGTACTCATGTTAAGATTTCAAAGGAATTTCTACCCAGAAGCGAGGTATGCACATAAAAGAATTTGTAATCGGCAGCCATTTATGGAAAGGGTGTATAGGTTATTAGCACTGATGAAGATCCGGGCTTACGGATCGAAAGCTTTACAGTAATAAATTTACGTGGTGTTTCCACAAACAAAACTATTATATGTTTTATCGCCAGCAAACATACAAAGAATTTATATCTATGGTTTGTAGCTACACATGACAACCGAGTTAGCCTTTTTTCAAGCGAAGTCCTTCCAGTTAGATGTTCAATCTATTCTTTTTCGTTCTTTTTAGGGCTTGCATTTCACGACATCTCATGAACAGTAAAATCTGCTTCTTCTGCAAAGAAACCGTGGAAAAATTTGAAGATTGCAGCGCTAGCCAGAAAGACGCAACAAAAGACACCAGTTCATGTGTTAGCCTTTGAAATTCAAAATTTTTTCGTTTATTTTTTGTTTTGAAAATTCAAATTTTTTTTACGTCGGCAAAAACTGCCGTCGTGATCGCAGCAGGGCGCTTGGGCATATCCCATAGCGCCCTGTCCCATAGGCATATCCCCTTAGTCCGTCGGTTCCATTATAAAAATATGAAACGAAGTACTTTGACAAGTAAAATCACTGACAGAAGACACTGCAGGCAAGTATATAGTGCCCAGTCCCCATGCCATCGCTCGCCAATTTCAAAATGTCGGCCATTTTGTGATTTTTTGCAAAAAAAACACACAATATTTTTGCGAAAAGACAACCGATATTAGGCAATGGCGACCTATTTAAAATTATTTAAAGATTGGGTAAACTTCCAGAAGAATGTCTATAACACTCTTGGACGAATGGAGATTTTTCGGAGACTTTTACGCGAAGGAAATGTCCGAGTAGGTGCCTCGGTAGGAACGGATAAATACGGCAATGAGTACTACGAGAATAACTATTATTTCATGGGAAGAAATCGTTTTGTGAAGTATCCGTACAAGGACCATCGTTTGTCGTTTGATGCGAGCGAAATTCCACCAGAATGGCATAGATGGATGCATTATATGACCGATGACCCGCCAAATAAAGTCGTTCCCGAGCAAAGAAAATGGATGGCTGACCATGAAGTGAATTTTTCTGGAACTGACAAACGTTATGTGCCCTACAGCACAACAAGACCAAAGATTGAAGCATGGCAGCCTCCGAGGAACTAGTAGAATAGAGATTTGAAAACTATAACGATTTATATAAACTTTGAAAAATAAACGCTTGAAAACACTTTAATATTTTTGTGATATTAATTTTGGCATGAGTTTATATTGTGGAGCAACATGTTATATGTGTTGTGATGTAGTTGACAATTGTAAAATATATTTTCAAAAGTATTTTTTATTGATTTTTAATTTATTTCCGCAGGGCTGACAAAATTATTTCTCCCCCCCCCCCTCCTCTAGGCTCTTATGAGTAACATTACGGGGGGAATCTGCATGAAGGTGAAAATATTTCACATTTTGTTCTATTAACCCCCTGCAAAAAGTGATATGAGGCATTTGCTTCCGGGGGGTGGTGAACTCGTTGCAGGTTGCTACGATATTTTCCGCTTGGATATTCGGAATATAAAATATTTCACGACACGTAACACGTTGCAAATATTAATTTCCATAGCTTTGAAAACATTTTCTACAAATTGAACAAGCAAAAGCACAAGAAAAACCTCGCGTAGAAGAACCCTTCGCTACAATTATGAAAGCTTTAATTTTAGTCGGCGGGTATGGTACTCGATTGCGTCCTTTGACACTTTCCCAACCGAAACCACTCGTAGAATTTTGTAATAAACCTATGATGCTGCATCAAGTAGAAGCTTTAGTACAGGTTAGATTGTTATCCACAAGTAACGTTTATATTTTTGTTGCTTTTGTTAGCTAAAGTATTGATTCGATCGAGGCATTTTATATGAAGTATAAAGGTTCATATACTGGGTTTTTTATAGCCGTTTGTAAAAATTGTTTACATAAAATATAGTTTATAGTTGTATGAAGGTATTATTTATTTATATTATATTGTAAATATAAAATATGAATGGGAAAAAGTAAAGAAATTATTATATTTCCCCAATTATTAAAATTATAGATTATAAGATTAGCATTTTTAAATTAATAGTAAATATGCCACTTATTGACAAGTATTAAACCGATTTTGAATGATTTAATGCTTCTGCAAATGTCATGCAATTAATTTACATATGTTGAGCCACATACTACCGCTAATAGCTAGGCCAGAAACTGATCAGTGATCATTGGCTTGGCCTAAGCCAAGTCTTGTGACACCTTGATTCCTGGACGAACATCTTCGCACCCTCCCTAGATGCCTTAAAGAGTAATAGTGATGTTGATACATAATATGATCTTTCTGTTGTAGGCTGGTGTGACACAAATCATTCTGGCTGTCAGTTACAGAGCTGAGATGTTGGAAAAAGAAATGTCTACTCATGCAGAGAGAGTGAGTCTTGCA